TCTTATTGCTTGTACTGAAATCTCCAACAAATCTGACTGTATAAAGAACTCTATAGAGAAATGATTTAAATTCATTTAAAACAGAATCTAGAGAGCAATCACAACATATTTTTATCCTTTTTGTTTCTCAATCGATGGCTTAGTTTAGGGGCAGCTGCCCCACATTCAGAAACTGAATCCTCATCAGAAGGTGCCAGTGCTCCTTCTTCTTCACTTCCCTTGCTGCTGCCATCTTCATCTTTATCCTCTTCACCTGCAGGATTGGCATGTTGATGTAGAAATTTGCGTGCCTTTACAACAGAGTCAATTTTTTCTTTCTTGTCTTTAAATTTGAAGAGCACGCATTCTGGAACACTCCATCTGTAGGGGACATTGTTTTTCTGTAAGAACAGCGCCAAGTCTCTGAATTCTTTCTCTTTTTCCTTACTTCAAATGGAATGTCCTTCAAAACTCTTATTTCTTTGCCTTTGATTTTCAGGATGGCTCCACTTGTTGCTTTCAATATTTGGTCTCTTACTTGTCTCCTGGAGAATCTCACCACAGTATCGCTGGGCAGATTATTCTTATGTAGTCACAATACGGCCTATAGATCGTATCTATTTTGTTTTGTAAAAAATCCGCTTTTAAATCTGCAACCGTACTCAATGCATCACACATAATTTGCTTCAAGTCTTCTCCTTTTGCTTCAGGGACCCCCTGGAACCTTAAGACATAGCTTGCCTTTTCCATTTGCAGCTGTAAAAGTTGAGCCTTGTCAGTTGCTCTCTCTTTTTCCATTACCTGCATTTTTTTAAAGCTTCTGGGTGTTGGCATCCACTTCTTCAAGCTCTTGCTCCATTTTCTCTGTCTTTTTGGTAGTTTTATTCAATTGGCTTTGTTGTGCATTGAACTTCTTATGGAGCGATGTCATTTGTTCCAGCAGAGGGCGCAAAGCTTCAGACAGCATACTTTGGAAGTCTATGGTAGTGTCCTGTCTAGAAACTTGCTGGGCTGGCATTTCCGGCAGGGAACTTCAGTTTTGGTTGCTTATCCTTCTCCCCCCTCCTTAGAGGCGCCATGTTTGAGAGTTGTTTACTTATTAGAAAAAGTTATCAAAGTCTCAAGATCCTTTAAAAATGCTTGGTAAGTTCTCAAAAGTTCCTTATTATAGTGTAATTCCATTTTATAATCCCCCCCTTATAACTTCTTATAACAGTTCAGGGTTTTTTTCTTTTCGAGGGGGAGTTCCCCCTCTTTTTTTTTTAAGGGAAGACTTTCAGCTCATTTTCTGGTGTCTTCGCTTAACAATCACTCCCATTTCAGCGTAGAACTAGTATTTCACGATTAACTCACCTGGCCACCAAGCGCTTGTCCCGGTGTGCGTCCCTGGAAATCAGCAGCGGGACCATCGGGGCAGGGATCGGCCCCCCTTCGCCAGTTGTTTGCTGGAGGAAGGGTCCTCCAAGCACCCCATGGCTAGGAGCCCAACGCAAGGGCTCCGGGGGGGATATGTACCATCACACACCCTCCCATCCACCGATTCAAGGCACGCGTCTCCCAGAGCTCCAGGAGAACGCGGCCGCCATTGAGGGAGCCAAAACTGGAAGTCCTATCAGATATTTTTCCCATGTAAAAGAAATAGGATTGTTCTTTCTTGTTTAGTAGATAGAATTAAATGATTAAAGATTTAAATTTTTTTATGTTGAAAGCTATTTTATAATTTCTGATTAATCCCATTTGGTCAGATCCCCATTGATCAATTGGCCTGTTTGCTCCAATTGCTGTAGTCCAGCTCTTAAAATCTTGATTCAGAATGGATTCTGTTTTAGCATGGTATTTTCCCTCCTTACAGTTGTTTCAGCTTCATCCCAGTTCTTGGGCAGGTTTTCATCTTTCATTGTGTTTACCAGTAGATCTAACAAAATATCTGTAAAGATGTTGTAAAATGCTACTGGCAATCTATCTGGGCCTGAGAACTTATTGGTTTTTCAAAATTGTCGCTATTCTTAGCCTCCTTAGTAGCAGGAATAATCTTGTCTGGGTTCTAGGCTATGTAGATATCTGCTGTTGTAATAATTTTAGTTGTCCAGCCTAGCCCTGAGTCTGCCACTGGCCTTCCCTGTTCTTCAGCATGTGGTATAGCTTTATCTTCCTTTGGGCTCTCATTCCCTGTAGTCTGCTTGCCACTCATTATCTTTACAATAAGAATTTTTGGGACTTCCGGTGGGTGGATCGGCGATGGCGGTCGCTCTCCTCGATGTCTGAGGAGGTGACTAGCACACCCTCGGCTTGGAGGGGTGCCACCTCAAGTGGCACCCCCACGGAGCCCTTGTGAAGGGTTCCAGGCCAGGGGGCTCTTGAGGGTTAGCCTCTTCGATGGCTGGATGCCGGAGAATAGAGGCTTCCCTCCGCCCTGATGGTCCGGCCGGCTGGGTGACCTTAGGGTACAAGCCAATCTAACCGGGACAAGCGCAGGAGATCGAGCGAAATAGCATATGAAGAGAGAGGGGTCAAGTTGTGACCAACAATGAACGTGAGTTGGACATAAACAGATTTTTTTTACTAAAACGGAGTACCCCCCCCCCCGGGGAAAAGCGGTGCGTAAGGAGGGATGCCTCCTAAGCATGTGAATGGACTAACGTAGCGAAGGGGGAAGAGGGAAGCAAACAGCGAATTCTTTTCTGAGAGACTTACTTGAGTACCGATAGTGGAGCGATGAGTCTTTCGGGTCCTGGCATAGCGGTTTGGAAGTGTAAACAAAGTGAAATATGGCGGCTTCCCGAGGAAAGTTAAAACCGAAACCAGGCAGTCAGAGCCCAAGACCGGATGAGGGAGCAGATGTCATGAAGTCGCTAGCAGATATGCTGAAGCCAGTAATGGACCAACTTGGTGGTATTAACCAGCAACTGGCCACACTGAACCAAAACTTCGCTCTGCAGCAGCACCAGCTGGCAGAAACGGAGAAGAAAGTGGAGCATGCAACTGTAAAAATTACAGATGGATATCGCAAATAAGAAGATGAAGAAAAGAGTGACGGATGTGGAAACAGCACAAAAACGTCAGGAAACTCGTGTGTTACAGCTTCAAATGGAAAAAGCTAACATGACTCTCAGATTTCAGGGGG